TCTTACCAATATTTGTTCAAAAGAGGTTACTATTGCCTCCTCAAATCCGGAGAAAACGGGTTGAGCTCCCTCTGTGAGTTCCAGCTCCCCATTCAGGGATATGAGAGAAGCCTCTCACAAGGATGGTAAAACATCAAAACATTCGGGTGGCCCCTAGGCAACGTCCTTGCAGTGATATGGAGGACAAGGTGATGGACCGAAAGAGCCAATGTAACACCAAGAATGAGTTTATCCCAGAGTGTCTGGACACTGTCACAATCACACTGGGGCCAGGACTGAGTTTAAGACTTCAGACTGGACCTACATTAAGCAGCCAGTGTTGCCATGGTCTAATTGTGTTTTTCCAAAGAAAACCAAAGAAAAGCCTTCAGTATCAGAACCCAACAGTCCTACTGCAACTCACAGTTATTTGGGAAAAAGTTCTGCCAGACTAACTTCAACTCATTGGGCTAAAGTCAACACTATACTTGCAGTAGCATTGGAAGTTTCTCCTTTCCACCCCACCCTGCCACCAACACTCTGCAATGGTGAAAACCCACTCAGCCCTATAGATAACCTCTTATTTCCACTCATGGAAGTTCTTGACTAGGTTCTGGCCTTTCTCAGGAGGAATGATTAAAATTGCAATGTAAATAAAACATCAAAACATCTGGGTGTCCTCTGGGCAATGTCCTTGCAGACAGCCAATTATCTCACACCAGGAGTGACTTGCAGTTTTTCAAGTCACTCCTGACACAAATTAAAAATGCCTTCCTCTGAAACTGGGAAAGTGTGACTTGCCCAGGGTCACCCAGTAGGTCATGGCTGGGTGTAAATTTGAACCCTACTCTCCAGAGTCATAGGCCCTACCTCTACTGCCAATTCATCCATGTTCAAAATGCAAATTAACTGCATTGAACTGGATGATATGGCAGTATAACTCATATAATCGAGTTGCCTGAGGGCTGAGAAAAGCGGTATATAAATAAAGTAAATAAATAAAATAATAAATAATCTAGTTCAATGCATTTCAATCTGCACAAAAAGACTCTAGAACTTGTAAAAGACTAAACTTTCTAATTTCATTCTTGTGTGCCACTCCAAAAGTTCTATGCCCATTGATTATGAATGTTTCCCCACACGTTTTTGCATGTTATTTGCTAGAATGTTTTTGCACTTTAAAAAGCTGGATGTGGACATTGTGTTCTTTAATTTTAAGTTGTTGCTTTTTCAGTATTTGGAGGGCATCTGTCCCTGGGAGGGTCTCAGAGGTTGAAAATTAGCCCCCAGGCTGTTGCAATGGTCCACCTCTGGTTTAAAGGAAATGTCTATCTCAGGCATGGACAAACCTTGGTCCTCCAGGTTTTTTGGACTTTGACTCCCACAATTCCTAACAGCCAGTAAACTGGCTGGGACATCTAAGAATTGAAGTCCAAAACACCTGGTGGGCCAAAGTTTGCCCATGTTGGGTCTATCTGCAACCTTCTTCTACATCTCATTGTTGTTTTCCAGAAGCAGCTGCTTCAAGGAGCATATTTTAGTTATTATAAAAGGGCTGAAATTTGTTATTTAATTTGTTGTCAGTGTATTTTTAGTTCCAGGGGGTGGAAAGGCATTTGAGAGATTTCCTGGCCAAGAGCATGGCTCACTTTAACTTGGGTGTTTGGGAGGCCCTAGTTGTCGCTCCACCTCAGGCAGCAATGTGTCTCGGGCTTGTTATTGACGTCATTCCATCATGGTGCCAAACTGAACATGATGGCTAATGGGTTTCTGCATTTAATGTGCAATCTTTCTTTCTTACTGAAATGCAAACACCAGCTGCTCTGGTAATTATTGAGATCACAGAAGGGAAGGAGGAGGGCATTAATCCTTTCCTTCCTTGCCGCTAAGGCTGTCTCTGCTGTAACAGAGAGGAAGGCAGCTGCCTCAAGTCAAGTGACTTTGGGTGTCATGAAAATAGCATATTATTTGCTATGAAATTCATGTTTAAGGCTTTCTCGATTCTCCCTGGAAGAAATGCTTGTGGGATTTTCTGTCAAAATAGTAGGGTGAATCTCGGATATCACAGGTTGAATCTGCCTAATTCAGAGTTTCATAATTGAAAATGCTCCAAAATCCAAAACTGCCCACATGAGATAGTGAAACCTTTGCTTTGTGATGGTTCCGTGTATGCAAACTTTGCTACATGCACCAAATTATTTTTTTAAATTGTATAAAAAATTCCCTTTGGGCTATGTGTATAAGGTGCATGTGACATATAAATGAATTTTGTGTTCCATCTTCAATTATATGGCATTGGGCCTCCAAGTTTGCTGGGGTTAAGGACATGGGACCCATGTAAAAGTGGAGAAAATGTGAATAAAAATCCACTATTTTTCTAACCTGAGAGAGCATCTCTATAGCGGTTTCCAGCACAACTCCATGGCCAATTGTTGCCAGAAGTTTATTATAGAATCACACTGGAGGACAAACGAATGTCTCAAAAGGCCTTCTCTCTAAGAATCTTTAGGTCCTCCAGTGCAACCTTATGGAAAAATCATGCTGGAAGAACAAGACATTTTTAGAGAAAGCATATTAATCAAATCCATGAATAATGACATTCACAAAAGTGGAATCTGCAAATCCAAAACATCTCTGATCCCAAGCATTTCAGGTAAGGAGTACTCAACCTGTATTTACCTTGACTTCAGCTGGAATAACTTACTGTTCTGTCTCAGGCTTGCCCTATCTGCAACAGCCATGAGGAAAATTGCTCCTCCAAATCTGAGCTCCTTGAGAGGAAACAGTGCTGTACTAACCATAATAAATGGGTAAGTGTGATTGGTTCCTTTTAGCAGCTTTTCCCTCCTACACTTCTCACTGCTAAGTCCACTTCATACTCCTCTCTTGCCACGTTTGCCTCCGGACTTAAGAACATAAGTACACATCCGTTTTGAAGCAAGACTCTGGAGAGAGAAAACACTTCACCCACAAAAGACTTTATGTCAAGATCTATTTTCCTCATCCTGGCAAACTTTGCTTAGAGAAGTATAGACTCAATTATCCCCTTTCCCCCCCAGGTCAATGCTTATCACACACCTCTGTCCAAGGAGAAGGAGAAAGCTTCCTGCTCGGCATCTGAGCCACAATGGAAAAATAAGTAAAAGCTTTTTATAGTTTCACATTTTAGCCTGGAGTGCTGTGACTCATCCTCTTATATCTGGAGGTCTTTAGCTCAATGAAGAATTGAGGCAGTTGTCAAGCATACCAAAAGGATGTTCAGAAGGGAATACCTAACTCTTCTTCTGTTTGTAAATCTACTACAGTCCTTGGCAAGCTTCCCATATTTGCACAACACTTTTGGGATTTATGTCTGAGGAACTCTTGTGTGTGTGTGTGTGTGTGTGTGTGTGTGTGCGTGTGTGTGTGTATATATATATATATATATATATATATATATATATATATATATATATAATTTTCCCCTGACATTAAGTCCAGTCATGTCCAACTTTGCGGGGTGGTGCTCATCTCCATTTCTAAGCCAAAGAGCTGGTGTTGTCCATAGATGCCTCCAACATGACTGCATGGAGTGCCATTACCTTCCTGCCGGAGCGGTACCTATTGATCTACTCACATTTGTATGTTTTCAAACTGCCAAGTTGGCAGAAACTGGAGCTAACAGTGGGAGCTCAATCAGTAAGTTCAGCAGCTTAGCGGTTGAATCCATTGCACCACCAGGGGATATATATATATCCCCTGCTTTGGTTAGACCACACCTAGAATATTGTGTCCAATTCTGGGCACCACAATTCAAGAGAGATATTGACAAGCTGGAATGTGTCCAGAGGAGGGCGACTAAAATGATCAAGGGTCTGGAGAACAAGCCCTATGAGGAGCGGCTTAAGGAGCTGGGCATGTTTAGCCTGAAGAAGAGAAGGCTGAGAGGAGATACGATAGCCATGTATAAATATGTGAGAGGAAGCCACAGGGAGGAGGGAGCAAGCTTGTTTTCTGCTTCCCTGGAGACTAGGACGCGGAACAATGGCTTCAAACTACAAGAGAGGAGATTCCATCTGAACAACGAGAACTTCCTGACTGTGAGAGCCGTTCAGCAGTGGAACTCTCTGCCCCGGAGTGTGGTGGAGGCTCCTTCTTTGGAAGCTTTTAAACAGAGGCTGGATGGCCATCTGTCAGGGGTGATTTGAATGCAATATTCCTGCTTCTTGGCAAGGGGTTGGACTGGATGGCTCATGAGGTCTCTTCCAACTCTTTGATTCTATGATTCTTATATATATATATATATATATATATATATATAAGAGCTGGAAGAGACCAATTTTCTAACTAGTCTCTAACATTCCTTGCCATTATTGGACTACCAATAACTGGAGGACTATGTGGTCCCCATATTGTTCTTGAGTGGGGTAGGCAAAGTGTGTCCCATGGACCACATGTGACTTCTCAGGGCCATTCAGTGTTACAACACGGAGGATGAGAGGAAATGGGAATGTCAAGTGAAGCCAAGCTAAGTTCAGCACCACCGGATGGTCAGGACTCCCTCCCATGTTTGCAGTGGCCTGTCTCACCCCTCCCAGTGGAAGCCATATATAGGTTTATAGTTTGGCTGTAGGCCTATTCTACACTGCCATATAATCCACATTATCTGATTGAACTGGATTATCTGAGTCTACATTGCCATATAATCCAGTTCAAAGCAGATAATCTGGATTTTATATGGCAAGTACAATGGGCCTAGAGCCAAACTATAAACCTGTGTCTCGAGTGGGAGTGTTACTCCACCTAACACAGGCTGATTTTCTTGATCTACCTTTCACCTGCACAGAAGCACCTCTGTCTTGTATTAAGGATTAAGGTTCAATTTGTATGGGCTCATTCAATTCTCAGTTGTATCAGTGGGATGCTAGAAACAACAGCACCATGACAGAAGGAATATTGTTGGAGCCACTCCACCGGGGAACAACAACTTCACAAAACAGCTTAAAAGCAGAGCAAAATCATAGACATTGTTGTTACCTTACCTGCCTCTGGTTTTCTGTTTCTAGCCTCAGTCTAGCTTCTACACATCTTCTGGTCTCTAGGAAGGCTTGGCGTTGTGCTCGGTCTGATAGGTAGCTAATGAAGATCCCAGCAGTATTCATGCACATAAATAAAACTGCTTGAGCTGCTGTCTGGAAGAAACAAGGAGAAGGAATATAAGTGTCATGGCTACATCATATGTATACATATGTACACATACCTTATATAAATGAGGGCTGTGAAATGATACCATAACTTTTCATTGATCCATCATCCACCTTTGAACTACTTTATTAAAATGTTTCTGCAGATTTCCACAAATGTAGTCTAGGAACTTTTCTACGTTGTTGAAAAAAAGAGGTTAACACAATAAAAAAAGCCTCCATTCACTGATTTGCCTTTTTTCTATCTGTTTATTTTTTAACTGTTCGGGTAAAAGAGTTTTCTAATAGTAGAATCAAAATAACCATCTGTGCTCTTACCAAAATTCCTGTAGAGTAAAATGGGCATGAAGTTGATGAATTAATTGAAGTTCCAGTTGATGAATCTTACATGTAAATATACACACTCTATCACGCTGTGATTGTGTTTATTTTATATTTCAGGGAACAACAGCAAATTGAAATATATCAACAAGTTAGACACATAGCATCAATTAAACTACATAACCAATTAAAATAATATATAAAACCAATAAATATTGAAATAATGTCTTCCTGTGTGTTGTTGAAAGCATTCATGACTGGAATCACTGGGTTGTTGTGAGTTTTCTGGGTTGTATAGCCACGTCTCTCCTGATGTTTTGCTGACATCTTTGGCAGGCATTCTCAGAAGTTGCGAAGTCTGTTGGAAACTAGGCAAGCGAGGTTTTATATATCTGTCAAATATCATACTTGCCTCCATCACACTTGCCTCCTGGCCACTCCACAGATATATAAACCTCACTTGCCTATTTTCCAACAGACCTCACAACCTCTGAGGATGCCTGCCATTGATGTGGGTGAAACGTCAGGAGAGAATACTTCTGGAACATGGCCACACAGCCCAGAAAACTCACAGCAACCCAATGTCTTCCTATTTTGATACTTAAATTTAAAAAGTCTTTGTCTTCAAAGATGGAATAGAAATATTATGAACCAATAAATAAATGTGATGTAGGCTAGAGATCCTTGGGGTATCTAATAGAGCAGGGGTCCTCAAACTAAGGCCTGGGGGCCGGATGCGGCCCTCCAAGGTCATTTACCCGGCCCTCGCTCAGGGTCAACCTAAGTCTGAAACAACTTGAAAGCACACAACAATAACAACAATCCTATCTCATCAGCCAAAAGTAGGCCCACACTTCCCCATTGAAATACTAATAATTTTATATTTGTTGAAATTGTTCTTCATTTCCATTGTTGTATTGTTTTTAAATGTTTTTGCACTACAAGTAAGATATGTGCAGTGTGCACAGGAATTCTTTCTTTTTTTTCTTTCAAATTATAATCCGGCCCTCCAACAGTTTGAGGGACTGTTACCTGGCCCTCTGTTTTAAAAGTTTGTGGACCCCTGTAATAGAGGATGCCAACACATTCCCTCCATTGAGCCAGAGCAGCAACCTGAAGCATCCTAAGATTCATAAACATCTGAAGTGCCAAATCAGCCCAAGCTTGGTTCTAAAGGAGGTCATTAGACAAATCAACAGAAAACTGATTTATCAGCCATAACCAGGAACATCTGGTGCCATACATTAGAGAGATGGGCCAAAACTAACAAAATGAAGTTCAACAGTGACATATGCAAGATACTCCACTTTGGCAGGAAAAACGAAATGCAAAGATACAGAATGGGAGACAATGCCTGGCTCGAGAGCCATACGTGTGAAAAAGATCTTGGAGTCCTCGTGGAAAACAAGTTAAACATGAGTCAACAATGTGATGTGGTGTCAAAAAAAGGAATTTTGGCCTGCATCAAGAGGAGAATGGTGTCTACATCTAGGGAAGTCATGATACCCCTCTATTCCGCTTTGGTTAGACCACACCTGGAATATTGTGTCCAATTCTGGGCACTACAATTCAAGAGAGATATTGACAAGCTGGAATGTGTCCAGAGGAGGGCGACTAAAATGATCAAGGGTCTGGAGAACAAGCCCTATGAGGAGCGGCTTAAGGAGCTGGGCATGTTTAGCCTGAAGAAGAGAAGGCTGAGAGGAGACATGATAGCCATGTATAAATATGTGAGAGGAAGTCATAGGGAGAAGGGAGCAAGCTTGTTTTCTGCTGCCCTGGAGACTAAGACGCGGAACAATGGCTTTAAACTACAAGAAAGGAGATTCCATCTGAACATTAGGAAGAACTTCCTGACTGTGAGAGCTGTTCAGCAGTGGAACTCTCTGCCCGGAGTGTGGTGGAGGCTCCTTCTTTGGAAGCTTTTAAACAGAGGCTGGATGGCCATCTGTCAGGGGTGATTTGAATGCAATATTCCTGCTTCTTGGCAGTGGGTTGGACTGGATGGCCCATGAGGTCTCTTCCAACTCTTTGATTCTATGATTCTATGATTCTATGATTCTATGATCTGGTGATGAATCAATTTTTACTCTAATCTTTAAAAGTGCTAAAATTGGTTCAGGACTTTGGACAGCTCCTTTGAAGTCCAGGATAAAAATCTGAATTAGCGTAATTCATTGTCTCACTGATTTGGGAACTAGCACCCTGAGCTGGCCAAAAGGATTATACTGAATCTCCATTTACAGAGGTAGAATACAACACCAAGAAAGCAGGAAGGTATTTCTTTTCTGCTGGTGGCTTTGCAAAGGCATTTGATTTGCTATTAGTGACTTGAAAATGGATACAAGATTAAATGAAAATTCTGATCCCCAATTTTTTGTTTTTATGCAGCTAGCTCTTCCTTTGACTATCTAGGCTGTCAGGAGCTAGAACTGACTGCAAGAACAGTAATTTAAAGAAATAACATAATCTGTAAGATCTCTATTAAACATACTGGAACTTATGATGTCTTTTATGCCTGGAGGAAGAAATAGGCAGCATTTCGGGCCATTAAACTCTCACTGAACCACAGATGATGTTTGCAAAGAGATGAGTCACAGCACTGGAGTCAGGAATGATTATAGCCATAATTAGACATTATTTTATTCTTACTTTTTTGCACACAATGTTTGCTGAAACAATTGATGTTACTGTTGTGACTTCTTTCACAATTTAATGTTAAATAGAAGGAAATATCAGGGGAGAGTATACATCACAATAAGCATTTGTCATTGTTATTATTGCTGTTGGATTATTTTGGGTAATAATGAACACTTGGAATGAAATCACTGAGCAAGTTGGCACTTCTGTCTACTTTCCCAAAGTAATTGCATCTCATTCAGTTACTCTGAATAACCTACTTTCTTTCTGTCTAATTCTTAAGGCAGAGTCCTAGATGTAATCCCTTCAGTTCCACAAATGTATAGAAATGCCATACGGGTTATAAAACACAAAACTATGCATTTGAAATATTTTTCCTTAATTTTTTTTTTAAAAATACTGCAAGGTCTAAGCCCTCATTGCTTTAAAAAGCCTAATAAAATCTATAGAATCAGATAGGGATCTATAGGATTTCATATACTCTAGCTGACTATATTGCATAGGGAAATTCATAAGCAGAGATGATGACAAAAGACTATGAGCAAAAGTCCTAAAAATCCTATCATACAGAAGAAACAACAGTTTACATTATCATGACCAACAACAATGATTCTTGGAGGTGAAATGCAAAATGCCTGGAAAGTCAAAGTTTGAGTACAGTACTCTACAAAGAAATTGAATATGGAAGAACAAAGGACTTCTATCACAAGATCTGAGAAATCAAGGCAAAATTTAAACCAAGAAGGTGGATGCTATACAATCAGCAAGGGAGCACATTATATGGCCAAGTCTTACACATCCTTCCAATAATAATAGAGTAAAATAATAAATGTAATAATAATAATAATAATAATAATAATAATAATAATAATAATAATAGAGTTAAATAATGGAAATAGAATAACAGTAATAATAGAGTAAAATAATAAATGTAATAATAATAATAATAATAGAGTTAAATAATGGAAATATAATAATAACAGTAATAATAGAGTAAAATAATAAATGCAATAATAACAGAGTAAAATAATAAATGCAATAATAATAAATATAATAATAGCAATAATAGAAAAGGAAAACAATGTAATAATAATGAGTAAAATAATAGATGTAATAAAATAACAATAATAGAGAAAAAATGGAATAATAATAATAATAATAATAAATAGAGTAAAATAATACATGTAATAAAATAATACTAATAGCAGAGAAAGGTAATAAATAACCTTAAGTATAAGCTGAGGGGAGCTTTTTCAGACTAAAAAAGGGGCTGAAAAACTTGGCTTATACTCGAGTATATACAGTACTTGTTTGAACTATAGCTGCTAAAGCTAACATGGCTAATGGACATTCTGTTTAGAAGGGAAAACTCTCCAAGTCTCCATTCCAAGTGCATCTGTACTGCAGAATTATAACAATTTGGCACCACTGCCATGCACAACACTGTGGAATGCTGAGATTTGTAGTTTGTCAGATTTTTACCCTTCTGTCAGAGAGTTCTAGTGCCAGAATAAATTACAAATGCCAGGATTCCACAAGATAGAGCAATGGCAGTTAAAGTAGTGCCAAACTACTACAATTCTGCAGTGTGGCAGGTCAGACAGAAATCTTCTCTGTCCTTACCTAAGATCCCTAAGAGGTTAAATCCCATCTAAATACAAGTTAGACCTGCTAGGTTTTAGCTTCCAAAATTATGTAAGATCAGGTATGTTCGTGGCAATGTTGTTTTCACAACAACTCTCTCCACTATAAAAAGGTTAAGAGACAAGGACTTGTACCAGGTTATGCAACAAATTTCATGGCTCAGTGAAGATTAGGATGCATTCTTGAAAACCCCAATACATTACTCTTTACCCGTATATCATGCCAGTTTTATGTGCTCTAGTCGACAGTCCTTTCCATGTACAGACAGTCTCCAAGTTACAAACAAGATAGTTTATGTAAGTTTGTTCCTGAATTTGTGTGTAAGAAGGAACGGGCACATTTTAAGTGTAACTCCAGCCATAGATAGATAGATGAATAGATAG